GTCTATGGGAGAATTTCTCCTTTTTTTTCAAACATATAAATTTTGCAATTGGAACCTTCACTAGTAAATGCTAAGGAAATTGGAAGCCGTCCATTTCAAAACGGCGGCTGATTAAGAAATATTTTCCAGTTCTAATAACCAAAGGAAAGAGTGTTGATTAGTTCAAGGAACATAGAGTTGCCAACATGCATTAATATAATATAATATATGGTATGAGAAGATGGACCGTGACATTGTAAATAATCAAATATACATTAATTTACACGCACATTACATATCCAAATGATTGAGGTACATGCCAACTATACATAGAATCTTATGCGTACGCATCAACTAAATTATCTCAATGGTTAAAGGAATAATTGTTATTTTTAAAGGTCACGAGTTCAAGTATTAGTAACCGTAACAAAGTGATTGAGTATTCATTGCACAAACAAGGCGATTTGAGTGATTAAGAAATTATTATTATTTTTTGAAGTTATGAGTTCGAATATTATGTATGTAAGGGTATATGATCGTTCAATGTCAAATAAACTAATAGTTAATAATCTATTGATTGATTAATTCAAATCGAATTTTACATATACATATTATGGGACAACCCTCCCAACTCATTATGGAACAAATTTATTAATTTAATATTTATAAGATATAATTTGAAGTTTTAAAATGTTTTATTCTAAATTACTTTAGAAAATAAGAAGGCGTCGGCTTCTTCCATGTTGACCTCGTCGGCCCCTATTGATTCTTCAATACTGTCTTTTGACTTACTTTAATCTATATTTCTTAAATTCAATCATAATTGGTCAAATTTTGCATTTAATACCCATTTGAGACACTTAGACTACTATATAAGTTCATATCCTATAGAAGTAATTGTTCGATCTAGAATCTCTAAAGAGACAAATATTCATTTTAACCATTGAGACTACTCTATAAGTTCATTCAAATTTAATGTTTATTTTTAAAATATAAAATATTAATCTCTTCACTAACTTTTTAAAAAAATAGTGACATATCACCAAACATTTGGTGACACATTACACTATATAAAAAACGAACGCAAGAATTTATGTTAGGGTGTGAGCTTAAGAAGTTATATTAAAAATTGTAGGGGTGTAAAGTTATAAAAAATTTTGGGGTGCGAAATTAGATAATCAATAAAAAAAACACAAAGAAAAAACCCAAAATCTAAGATGGCGTTTGGTTCACTGGAATCCCTTGGAATTAGAGAGAATTAAAATCCAATTCCATTACTTTCCCATGTTTGGTTCAAGTTTTTAAATGGGGAATTGAAATCAAATTCCATCAAGGGATAGAAAGTAAATTTCATCCATAACATGATGGAATTAAAATCCTTTGGAGGAGGGAATGTGAAATTTGACCATACTACCCTCATCAATCTTTCGGTATTCGGGTCGGATTTTTTTATAAAAATTTCGGATTTGGGTCGGATTTTTTTAAGTTTGATATTCGGGTCGGGTCGAGTCGGGTTTTTTTAAGTGTGATATTCAGGTCGAGTTCGGGTCGGATTTTTTTTAAAAAAATTCGGGTTCAGGTCGGGTCGGGTTTTTTAAGTGTGATATTCGGGTCGGGTTTAGGGTGAAAAATACCCGACCCGAAAAAATATATAATTTTACCTTATATATTTAGGAATAATTACAATAATACCCCTCTATATATAATTTTTTTCAATTAAGTCATTATTTTTATTGAATAAAAATATTTTTTTATTATTTCGGGTCGGGTTTCCAATTCATATATTCGGGTCGGGTCGGGTCTCAGGTGGAGGTTCCTTTGTTCTCAGGTCGGGTTGGATGGACCAAAAACCCGACCCATGACCATCCCTAATTGGGATGATTTTAACTTATGATGCTTATTAGTATGATTTTTATAATTTATTGAAATGAATAATCAATCAATAAAATGAAATGAAATTTTAATATTTTTTAAAATTTTATAATATATTGCTACATGTAAGTTATAAAACAAACTAAAATTAAGCAAAAAAACAAGAAGGGCAATTTTGTCATTTTATATTATTGAAATTAAATTCATCTAACATGTCTGCGAACCAAACAGAATATGAAATTGGATTCCAATTCAATTTCCTGCCAACCAAACAGGTTTCAGATTCATATTCCAATTCCTTCACAGATTCCAATTCCCTCAGAAACATTCTAACGAACCAAACGCCACCTAAGGGAATTTATAATTTCTAAGGGGTGCAACCGCACCCCAACACCCTTGCACTGTATAGTGATAACATGTGTCACATCAATTTTTTTAGCAAAGTTAACGGGAAAAATAAATGGATGACCAAAAATATATATTTTGAAAAGTGCAGGTATTGAATTTGAAGGTACTAAATCCACAAATTTCATATAATAAAAGGGTGAGATGCAGAATTTGACCTTATGATTAATAATCATACCTGTTTTTGACTTGCTTTATTTTCAATTTTTAGATTCTGATTCCCAAATATATTTTATTAACTTCATATATGGATGGGGTGTCCGTTAATTAAGCATTCCTGTAAGATAAAGAAATACAACGTTTAAATTGTTTAATTATTATTAAACGTCGAAGCTCAACTTTATAAAAAAATATAAAAATTCTGGGGGTTTGAAGAATGATATATATAAGTCTTGGGGTTTACCAACTGAAATCATTTCCACCGTTTCTTTTTTATGACAAGTTGATGAATCTAATATAGTTTCATAAGTAGATACAATGTTTAATCACACCCATTTTACTAAATTCAGAGATTAAGAAAATACAAGATTTTATATTAGGAGCGATTTTATAAAATTTTATAAGGTATCCAAATTGTTGGTCTTACACCATAAAGTGTTGTTTTGTTGAATGCCTGATTATCAAAGTTACAATGGTCCTCTAATTATAGGATATTATTTTGTTGAGTCTCTCGACTATTAAAAGTTATAAAATGATCACCCGACTATTTATAGTTTCCCAACTCGTCTATTTTCATTAAAAAAATTGACAGTCATTTGAGTTGGACGTTAAAATATTGACTGACATTAGATTTTATCATATCCTAGTCAGCTGGTTAATGTTCAGCTCAGACTGTCATCAAATTTTCAACGAAAATTTGGAACATATCAATAATTGAGTGATAATTTTGTAACTTTTAATTGTTGTTGACTAAAAAAGCAACACCACATAGTTTGTAGGGATGATAATTGAACTGAAAAGAGATGAGTACCAATCCGATCAGATAGAGTAAGATTTTTTTTTGTAAAAAATCAGATTCAGGTTGGGCCATGTCATATTTTTTAAGGGTGAAGTCAGGTCGAGTCAGATTTATACTCTACAAATTCAGTTCAGGTTGTATTTGAGTGCATGTATATATTTTCAAGTCGGGTCGAATGAAGGATATATAATTTTTCGGGTCGGATAGATGATACATATTTTTGGGTTGGGCCGAGTTGACCAAAAACCTGACCCTAACCCAACCCGACCATATTAATCACTCAAATGACATTATAAAATCATACATTTAAACTAAAACATAGGTAAATTATGCATTTAGTACTTAAACTATTAGTTTTGATATATTTTAGTGTCTAAACTTTTGATTTTTCAAAATCATACATCAAGTATAGTCTTTGTTTCATTTTAGTAACCCGCTATTAAAAACATTAGTTTTTGTTTCATTTTAATACCCATTCAAAATTTAATGTTAAGTCTTGAAAAACTTAAAAATTTAGGTACTAACACATACCAAAACTGATCATTCATGTACTAAATGCGTTAAGTTTTTAAAGGCGGGTATTAAAATGAAATGAAAACTAAAAGTTTGGTACGATTTTTGAAAAAAAAGGTAAAAGTTTAGGTACTAAAATGAAACCAATAGTTTAAGTACTAAATGCCTAATTTACCCCTAAAACATTCACTACAACCAAAACACATACAGGTCAACTAATTATACTTAAAAAATCAACTAATTTTATTCTAAACACACTTAAAAATAATTTAAAATATCAAAAATTAAATATTAATATAAGATCATTGAGTTTGTTTGTATTGATACTTGTATGTTGAAATCGATATTCAATAACAAAAATATATACTTCATTTAAATATAAATTTTACAGTACAATAACCCTAAACTACTCCTAATCGACTCTAAAATACCTCTAAACACGTGATAACATACTGAAATAATATCATCAATCATTATACTAGGTTTGTAAACGAGCTAATTTGACATGGTGGAACTTGGTAATAGAGTTTGAGGGACAAACTTAAAACTTTAAAAAATTTAGAGGTTTAAATTAAAATTTTCAAAAGTTTTGAAGGGTTTAATTTTTTTCAAAAAAGTTGGGTTCTAACTTGAATTTTTGAAACTTTGAGACTTAATGAGAAATTTTCAAAATTATGGGGTTTAATTAAGAACATTAAAAAATTTTAAAACTCAATCTAAATTTTTAAAAATTTTGTGAAGGCCAAATTATTTTTTTGAAAATTTTAAGGGTCTAAATTATAATTTTTCAAATTTTGGGGGTTGTGGCTCCTACATGTCCTCATTGTGTTCCGCCTCTCGGAGTCGAGTTCGAGTATTGTTGAACTCAACTCGAATCTAAAATGAAACCTGACTTGACTCAAAAACTCACGAGCCTAAAATTTTCAAGCTAGACTTGAACTCAAAACCATGAGTTGAAGCTCGTAAAAATCCAAAATAAAAAATAAATAAAAAATCTTAAACTTAATTGAAACTTCAAGCTCAAACTCAAAGACCTTAAATACATAAAACCTTATATTGCATTTTTTTAAATCAACATATAAATGTTAATATATTATATTTCGAGTTGCTTGAGAATTTTTCAAGTCAAATATCAAATAGCTCATTTCGGCTTGTTAAACATTTGAGTCAAACTCAAGCTCCAGTCGAATATTTATCGAACTTTGACCGAATCGATCTCGAGTAACTCACGATCTGTCTCAGTCCTACATTTTCCGTTCTCCTAATGTAAATGTGGGGGGAAATTATGGATTAATAGATTGTGCAAAAAGTAACAAAAAAGTGTTTTCTTCCAAAGAAAGTTAAATGCATAGGAATACTCTCATTTATAGTAAAACAATGTTTTCAGTGGAAACAAAATTGAATCACAAAATGATGAAAGCCAAGAAATCACCATAATACTCTCATTTATTTGCTTCAATGAAATCTCTGTATTCGCTCTTCATTTTTACCCCGGATACGGTCCTGCAAAATCGACAAACGAAGTAAGCATGGACGGACCAAGGGGACGTCGAATTCTCATATAGCTTAGATATTTTCTATCGATAATATGTTCTCCCTTCTGACATAAAATTTTGAATCGTCTACGGAAGTAGGGACCTTTTGCAACACAAGTTTTGTTTTGCATATACGTGAAAAGAATCAAGTTTAGCCAACCTGAGCATCTCTTTATTTTTGAAAAACTGCACACATGGGGTACCCATAATTCCGGCAGCTTCGGCAATCTCCGGATCTTCCTCGATATCAATTTCGATAAAATGTACACTCTGATCAAACTCATCAATCACCTGCATATGCACCAAATCAGCAAAATCAAAGTCATTTTATATGGCATAATTTACAACATAGAAAAGATAAGCCAGTCATGATACATTAAACACGACCGATATATACGTTAAGCATGTTCCCGACTCGTCCCAGGGCTATAGGTTGATCTGGAACCGATTAGAACTAATATACCTTGCTAAGAATTGGCTTCAAAGTCCGACATGGACCACAAGTTGGTGAAGTGTATAATACACATATAAGCCTCGGGCTCTCATGATACAGCTTTCTCAAAGCATACTGAAATAAGGAGGAAAAACCGGGTTTAGAGGTACGATTATATCGAAAACCAAAACCAAAAACAAATCTAAGCCGATTATGTACAAACCTGGCCCTTATGTTTTGTGAGTGTAATGTCAAAACCTTCTTGAACATCTCTATCCGTCAGTTCTTTCTTGACCTCTTCAGTTTGAGGCTGTAAGATATATGATCATGATAAAGATTAACAAAAGCATCCGTGACATAAATCCCGAAGGAGGCCAGTAATAAATAGATTGGGGCAAAAGGCAGATGACCGAGTACAGTATAAAAATACTTACAAAATATCAATAAGAATGACAGAGTCGCCAATTTTTTAGAAGAAAAAAATACCTGATGAAACTCTACAAGAAGATCGTTTCTAACAAGGTATCGTTCAACGGATAATGCTGCAACGCATCCAGATCCAGCAGCAGTTACAGCCTGTCTCCACTCATGATCCTGTTAATGAAATAAACCAATGGAGTTGTATGACGAATTCGTTATAATACAGGACTTCTTCACAGACGTGAAGCCAGATGATAGTTTGAATTTACCAGGCAACTCGAGCACCATCATGTTTCATGTCAGGAAGAGAATGCAGTAAGCTTTCAAGAACTCATTAATGTTCTTTTTCATGCATGAAACCATCAAAAGAAAATATGTAATCTTCCATGGTTATATGTATGTTTTTCCGAATCATCAGTAACATCATGTGTCGTACGGGCATACCCGTATTAGACACCACAAAGTGAATATGGATGAATGGGAGGGAGGCTGACTCCAAACATAAGTGAAAACTTGGGAAATACGAACATGCTCATGTCGAAAAAATGTCCATGCACAACATATATAAAAATTAGAACTATACGTTTTTGTTTCCATAATTCCAAAATCGAAAAGTAGCATATGAGAGCATTGCATTATCATTTTCCTTGATGTTTCCTATATTGTACCTACTTCAACTGATAATGCTAGAGCAATTCTTAGACTCTTTAGATGCTCGTGAGAAGGTATTATAATCGAACATGCCATGAATTCGGGCATTGCTGACACACATGTCAAGGTTTTGAGGAGATGGGATATTTGCTAACTGGTCCCAAACTAATACGATATTAGAGGAAGATTTACCTGCACGTCTCCGGCTGCAAAGACACCTTCAACCGAAGTTTTAGAAGTGCCCTCCTCAACTAGCACATATCCTGAGCTATCAAGTTTTACTTGACCTTGCAACAGCTGGCTATTAGGTGAATGTCCTATACCATAAAACAAGCCCTTTGCCTCGAGCACAGATTCCTCCCCCGTATCAATTCTTCTGGTTCTTATGCCTGACATTTGACCTTTCGTATTGCTAACAATGTCCACAGCCTCTGTATTGAAGTGCAAGGTGATATTTGGATTGTTGTAAACTCTGAAACATTCGCGATAATTAACCTGTTAAACAAACATTCAGGGAGTTGAAAACTCGACAAACAAACAATTCATTAGTACACAATGCACCACAATCAAGGTAGCAATTAGAATGATCACGAGAAATTTCAGCTACCACTAAGCAACTGGCTTCATTTAAATGTAAGAACAAAAGGTGATGAAAAAATCACAGTCACCGCAAGTTCCATTAAATCATAACCTCAATGCAAATTGTTTGATGTAGAATGCCTTTGTTTGATTGAATCACAGTCAGGCAAACAAACATTAGTGGCGGTCCCATGATTGAATAAAGAGATTGGGAAGAGTTTTTCGTAGAATTTCTAAGGTCCAAAACAACATGTCGGATATAGAATGGGAACGAAAAATGTCAGGTATCAAGAATACCACCACCTTGCACAAATATTACACATACAAATCTAAGCAACTTCAAAAACTGATCATTTAATTTTGATGTAAAACATTGTCCATAAAATTTTAAACATAATAAGAGTTTGTAAAGCTCACCTATCTTGCATTGCTCTCGATGCTCTTAGTTGGTCCCTACGAACAAGCAAGTGAACATGACGAGCATATTTAGTTAAATATATTGCTTCTTCAGTAGCTGTATCACCTCCTCCAACCACAGCAAGTACTTGTCCTTTAAACAATGGTGATGCTCCATCACAAATTGCACAAGCACTAATCCCCCTACTCCAAAATTCATCTTCACGAGGTAATCTGAGCCTTTTTGCTGTAGCTCCGGTAGCAAAAATTACGCTATGACACTTAACCTGAAATACAATCATAGGGAACAGATATGAATAAAGCGAATATGCATCATAATAATATTGTTTAAGGACTAATGATAATTGAGTTCCAAATATTCAACATGAGAAGAAAGAAAATGTTTTTTTTTTTTGATAGAAAGAGGCCTCATTAAAATCCTCCTTCAATCCCTCCATGTTATGAGAGTAACATGAAGGAACAACGAAGGAGGAAAGGAGAGCCAAGAAAACTTTTATTCACAAGAACCAGATTACAAGATTGAACAAACTCCTACACTTCCAACAGAAGAACATAAAACTTAACACAAAACATCCAACAAACAGGGAGTTACAATTCCTGTTAAACAACACAACAATAACCAAAATCACCCTATCCCATCTTTAGCAAGTTTATCAGCTTCCCAGTTTGCCGCCCTTGAAATATGCCTAAATATAATATCCTTTCCAATCAAAAGCGAAACTATATCACCATAACAAAAAAGTACAAGTTTCCAACTCCAAATGGTTTTCCAAAGAAAAAATCCTATATCACATTCACATCAACTAACATGGCACTCAAGCAGAAAATTAATTAGACAGAGTTCAACGAATGGGCCATTACCAAGCATAATGATGCAATTCAAGTTATAGATCATAATTGAATATGTTCCAATAACCCATTATAGTAATAATTTCACCACATCAACATAACAAAAAAAGTAGCCAAAAGAAAATTATATCACCTTGCGTTCACTACTTCGTACTGTAAAAGGATTGCTTTTAACATCAATGTGTTCCACATCCTCTAGGAACAGTTCCGCTCCCCAACGCTCAGCTTGTCGTCGCATCCTGGCCAAAGCACAATCAAGACTCTAATTATACAATTTTAGTTGAAACAGTAGTGTTGTCAATACAGTCAACAAACAAGAAAGACAGACTTCCATTTTCTTTCAAATACCTATCCATCAAATCTGGACCAGTTATTCCATCAGGAAAACCAGGGAAGTTTTCGACTTCAGTGGTAGTCATCAACTGGCCACCAGGAACACCACCAACCTGATATCCTTCGAACACTACAGGCTTCAAATTGGCACGAGCTGCATATATCGCTGCCGTATATCCAGCAGGACCGGAACCTATGATCACCACATTCTCGACTGATTTACCTGCAAGAAGAAAAAACAAAACCATAATATCTCATGCCCCCAAAAGTAATTTGGTTATAAAGATGAAGAAAAACATAACCTTGCCCCCCACGTACACTTTTGCAATTCATATAATGCCGACAGCTGATAACGAAGACACCATTCACAAATTATATGTGTCGTAAACTTAAGTTCCAGCTGATTGCTAGTCTCACTAATTGCTCTTGCTTTCTTAGGTTCTGGTTGGTGTTTTTGCTTCTCTTTTTTATTATTTATCCTTTTTCTCCTGTTCCTTTCGTATTTCGCTTTCATTTCATTTTTCAATGACGGATCATGATATTCGAGTTTTGGGGAGATTAAATATATTCCCAAAGCAAGAGCATGGCTCATAAACCAACTAATCAAAAGCTTAAAGCTATGAACGAAATACACATATAACTAATCAAAATTGTTATTGTTTGCTTACACTTTCTATTGAGAAATGAAAAGGCAAATAGCAAAGACTCCACCAGAAGGAGCCTTAAAAATTACGAAAAAGAAAAAAGAAAATATTAAAAAGTAAAGCTACACTTATTCCTTTACAGTAAGTAAATGCTACACATTCAAATATTACTTTTCCATAGAGAAATATATATATATATATATATATATATATATATATATATATATATATATATTTTTCTGTAAAGATGACATATTTGGCTACTCATAAGTCATAAAACTATTTTTTTTTAATTTATAAAAAGGCTTATCTGTAAGGTGGCTGACTTCGGGAGTTATGATTTGAATGGATGGGAGTGGAATATTAAGACTAGGAGGAATATTTGTGATTGGGAAGTGGAGCAGTTGGTAGAGCTTTTGAATAGGCTGAAAGACATCAAACTTATAGAGGCATTGGAAGATTGTTTGTTGTGGGATGGCCCGGGTGAGGGGCTGTTCTCTGTTAAAGCATGCAGGAATTCGCTTTCTCCTATTTATGACAATTCATTTCGGTTGAATGAATGTGTTTGGTTGGGTTTAGTTCCTCCTAGAGTGGAGACCTTCCTTTGGAAACTGTCTCACCAAAAAGTTCCTGTGAGAGTGGAATTGTTGAAAAGAGGGGTTCAATTAGGGGAGAACATTCTCTGCCCTTTATGTAATCAAAGGGAAGAATCTGTTCAGCATCTATTTATTTCCTGTAATGTTTCATGGGAACTGTGGAATAAAATTATAGCATATTGGGGTGTTCGGTTAGCCCTTCCGTCTGACCCGCCATCCTTGCTCAGTTCTTGGTCTGTTTTATGGCCTACTTCTGCTATGTGGAAGTTTATTCCGGGAGTAATTTTCTGGTCAATCTGGAAGTTAAGAAATGAAATCATTTTTGAAAAAGGAAAGCTGGACAGAGTTTCACTGTTCTTCTATGTTCGTTTTAGACTAGCTACTTGGTTTTTAGCTAAGTTTCCCCTTCTATCTATCCAGATGGATTCTTTAATTGGAGATCCTTCTTTGGCGGACAAGCTTTCTTCTAGTAACGAGCCGAAAAGGAAAGTGCATTGCTGGAGCCCTCCTCCAGTGGATTTTTTTAAGCTGAATGTGGATGGGGATGTTAGTAGTGTTGGGATGAAGGCGGGAATTGGGGGCATTCTCAGAGATTGGAACCGGGTTACACTTTTTTCTTTTTCAGAAAATATTGGTTCTACTACTCCGATTATTGAAGAACTGAAAGCTATCAGTAAAGGCATTGACTTCTTTATTTCCTCACAGTGGGGTTCGAAGGGTAGGCTAATCATTGAGAGTGATTCCAAGCAAGCAGTGGACTGGATTAATGAACAGGCTTTACCTCCTGTTTTTCTAAATATCTTTGTTAAGGAAATTGTGTCTATTGTTTCTGTTAAACAGTTTATCATCCGGTGGACTCCTAGGTGTTGTAATATTGAGGCGGATAAATTAGCAAAGGAGGGGATTGGGTGATGGTGTAACTTGTTTTAGTTTGTTGGTCTGTTTTTCTGGTAAGTTGATAGAGGTGTGCGTTATGGTTTATGTATTTTCTAGGAGTTTCTTTTGAAGTCTTATGTAATCGGTTTTTTATTAATGATTTGAGGTACTCTTTTCCTCCTACTGCTAGTATGTTCTTGCCTTACCGTAAAGGACTACTAAGTGGGAGGTTTTTAATGAGACATCTCATTCCTATCAAAAAAAAAAAAAAGCTTATCTAACAAATAAATACCTAAAGTATACATTCTTTTTCATTTAAATAACTAAATCATTTTTTGATCAAAATAAGTACATAAAATTATCTTTTTGGTCAAAATAAATAACTAAATCATTTTATGTCAAAATAGATAACTAAACTATTCAAACTTTTTAATCTAAGTTCCAAAAAAAAGTTGGCATGTGGCAATTATTAAAGAATAATTTTGATAAAAAAAATTCTTTAAATACTTATTTTGACCAAAAAATATTCCAAGTATTTAAAATTAAAAAGAGGTATACTTTATGTGCTTATTTGTTATATGACTTATAAAAAAAATAGTATTTCCACTTATCCAGACACTTGAATAATTTTTTGCTTACACTTTCTATTGAGAAATGAAAAGGAAAATGATAATGGAAATCATGTACTAATGCAACAGCTTTACTTCTTAGAATCTAATTGAAAAGAAGAAGAAAATCTGCAGTATTTTCATTTTAGATTAGAGTTCAATATTCCTAACTAGACATATACATAAGCAAAGTAAACAAAGAAAGCTCTTAGTGATAGGGACCTGAAGCGGCAGAGGGTTCGACGGAGGCTCTGGGGCGGAGAGAGGGGAGACGGGGGCGCTTGGGGGGAGAGTGGAAACGGAGAGAGCGTGGAGGGGAAGAGTAGAGGAAGAAGAAAGGGTGGGAGAGAGTGGACATGGGAAGACGGTGGTGGTGGGCGGAGGGGATTGGGGTTCCGATCTGGAGGTTGGGAGAAATAGCCATCGGATTTAAGACAATACAAGAAGACCAAAGCCAGCAGTTGCCTTCCAAGTTATCTTTCTCTATAGCCTCATGCCTTCCAGATAAGGACCCCACTTTCTTTTTCTTTCTTTTTTTTATCTTCTTCTATATATGTCATTATTTTATATGATAAATTAATCGTTTAATATTTAAATTATTAATTTTAATCAATTTTAGTATTTAGATTTTTAATATTTTATAATTATGTCTAATGTTTAATTTTTATTTTAACATTTTATCATTAAAAATTTAATGCGTTTAATATATAAACTATCAGTTTGGCCTGTTTTAATAACTAAATTTTTTTAAAAAACTTAACGTTAAGTTTTTAACATAGGTACTAAAATGAAACAAAAACTAAAAAATATGTATACTTTTAAAAAATTTAAATTTTAAGTATTAAAATATACCAAAACTGATAGTTTAGTCACTAAACGCATAATTTACCCTTATTTTATAACAATATCGTAAATCCATGGATTTTAAAAAAATTATAAAATTAATTATATAATTTATGGGTAAAATATATATTTAGTAAATAAACTATTACTTTTAGTTGATTTTAGTACCTAAATTTTTAATTTTTCAAAATCACGCCTAACGTTTAGATTTTGTTTCATTTTAGTACCACGTCGTTAAAAACTTAACGGGCGAGTTGATGGGGCATAACTCTAATGTACAAACGATCAATTTGAATAGTGGAACACAAGAGAATGACAATTCAACTAACATAATCCAGTTTCAGGCCATTGGAAGGTTGACGACGGAGATCAGAAAATGAAGAAGTCGAAGAGTTCATCGTCAATTTAGAGAGATTGATGCATTTTTCCGGTGAAACATAAGTTGAAATCACTTTCAGATGGTAAAAAAGGTGTGGGTCAGAAAATTTGAGCTTCATTAGTCGAAAGATGTGACAATCAACGACTGTAGATGCTACGATTGCCGAACCCGTCCGTTAAGTTTTAACGACGAGATACTAAAATGAAACAAAAACTAAACGTTGGGTATGATTTTAAAAAGAAATTGAAAGTCTAACTATTAAAAACTAAAACTGATAATTTAAATACTAAACACGTACCTTACAGTTAAATTTTTTGAGTTGTCTATTGATTACGGTTGTTTAAAAAACTTGTAACTTTTTAATAATAAATATTTATATATCTTACGGACCTCATACTTGTACTCGGTTACAGTTTTGAAAGTTTTTAATTTTTCTTTTATATTTGTGTTGTTCTTTTAATGGTTATGATCTTTTTCTATCGTTATGATATGAGAGAAAAAAATCATTAAAATTATTTTGATTAAAATCTATATATTTTTAGAAGTCTATGCATTGTCAAAAGATTTCTGTGAAATTTCTTGTCATTTTTTCTTATTTTATTTTGATTTTTACGCTCAAAATTCTTTTTTAAGGAAGTGTGGGTCTCGTTAAAAAACATCTCTACCAACACAAGGCTGGATTCCTAGAAGGAGTAAAAGAGTGTCCAAAATCCATTAATCAATCAATAAACAATCACTTCTTACATCATTCGTAATAAATTGCGGTATATTAGTCCCCAAAAAAATAAGAAGCATGACAAGCAAGTGCTTGGTGAGCCAACCTATGAGCCACCAAATTAATCTCCGCCCAACATATTACATTGTACATCTAATAAAAACATTACACCTATCTCTGAGAACTACCAGATTAGTCCCTATTGTAGAATTATCATCTCTCGGTTCATTGTATAAATTTATGATCATCGTAGAGTCCAACTCAATAATAATGTCCCTCCAATTTTTCTCCGTAGCAAGATTGATAGTCGCAATGAAACTGAGCAACTTTGCCAAGACAGGCTTAAAAATACCACCTGAGGTGGTAGCTAACCACCTAGAACCGATCCATATGCATCTCGTGCCACAACACTTACTACCGCCAACTTGGTTGTAGAATCAAAGGCACCATCGGCATTTAATTTGATCACCATACCAACAGGTGGGCTCCGAGGAACAATTTTAGGGTCTCCATGTTGGTGAGGAGAAGCTACGTGAGTAGAGGCAAGAAATTCATTATGTAATGCTTTGACATTGGCAACGAGAACCCAAGTAGGTTGCAGTCGACCATCATGGACCAACGAATTCCTACCATTCCAAACGTTCCAGATGAGTACCACAAAATCTACAAAAGAAACAACCCCAAGCATAGTATATGCAGCTTCTAACCATGATAACGTTGATTGATAATTGAAAGTAAGAAACGCACCAGTTATAGATGCCACGCGATAAACATCCGTCACATAATAGCAGTCATGGAAACTATGCCAAGATGACTCAACCACATTTTTTCATACGGGACACATACCATCACCCAATCAAGTTACCCTAATTCTGCCACCCACCGGTAAAGTGCCATGCGCTAGACACCACACAAAGATACGGATCTTCCGCAAGACTCAAAGCTTCGCAATCGTCTTTCAGAGCTTCGAATGAGTACCTGCTGTGTGAGTAGATTTTTGGAACTACCAGTACGGCGACCGAACTGAATGCACGTCAGAATCATGATTCCCCCAAACTATACTATCATTCACACACGGGGTTATCGGTTTTTACATTATTAGAGCCACCTCAGATTCGACCAGGGAGATTTGACATAACTAATACATTTTTCCCGTAATATTCTTTTTCTAACACCGTTTGATCAATATTTCTCGAAGTAACACTCTTTCGGCTAAGGTGGCACAAAGGCGCATCCCTGGGGACGCGCTTTACCTGGGTTTATGCTGAGTCAGATGTCACGCGGGGTAAGGCGCATTCCTGGGGACACGCTTTACATGGGTTTTGCTAAATCAGATGTCACGTTGGTTTTTTTTAAATAAAGATTTAATTTTTTTTATTATAAATTATTAATATATTATGTAAAGTGTTTCAGTTATAATTTAATAATTATCGAATGTAATTTTTAAATGTGTGTTAAAGGTTAAAGTGTGAATTTAGGTTAAAGTGTTATATGTTTCAGGGACTTTGGCTCAATAGAACAATAGATGAAAATCAGCTTTGATCGTATTGAATTTCTAGGAAAATGTATGAAATTATAATATTACATGTATGGTTATTTATCTATTATTATTTTTTTCTATTTTGATTATCAATCTATTAATTTTATCACTTAATTATTTAAATGTTATCAATCAAGTCATCTGTTGTTAATATTTAACAAAAATATTGATGCATCAGTTAATAAAATTAGTATAATTACACATTTAATCTTCAATACTTACATATTTTTATCAATTTAGTCTTAATTTTAATTTAATTTAATAAATTTAATCCTCCAATCAGAACATGAAATGTGTCATTGTATACATAATTTTTTTTCTAACTTTTAATTTGTTTAATTTAATATTTTTTTCTCTAATTAAAAGGTGGAATTATTATAATATTTTAAAATTAATAATAAATTTTTTATAATAAATAATATTAATTATTATATTAAATAATTATAATTAATCATTTTAAAAAATTACCAATAAAAAATAATTTATATAATATTAACCAAATATCATAAAATAATTTTTAAATACTAATTTAAAAAATATAATTTATTTAAGTGTACATACATTGCGAAATTATAGAAAATGCAATTACATTTAAATATTAGGAAACAAAAACATTCATTGAAAAAGAATATTAATTACATAAGGGTTAACGATAATGCAATGATAACAGAGCTGGACATTTTTTTCTATTGTGCCCGATGTTTCTGCAATGCCCACATCTTTTTTGTTTTGTTGACTTATCCCGAATATCCATATCACAATGTATTCTAGTGGATTTTGGACGACCTGAGTCCCTTAATAGCAACGAATCTGGTACAATTGTAAGCCAAATTTGAATCTCATCTGGGTCTCTTTCGTTACCTATGGGTGGAAACTCAAATTCATATACCTTTAATACTTGTGAAAGTTGGTATACGGGATCAACATAATTTTTGTAGTCCAAATGCGAATGTGAGCAAGCTGCAATGACATGAGAGCATGGATATTTGAGTGCTTGAAAGAAACCACAATCACACCACCTCTCTTGCAGATTAACTCTGAAAGAGTTAGCTTCAATCCCTTGTAGCGGACGTGGCATTTCGGTTACACGAAACAATTCACGGGTGCGAGAAAAATTTGTAACCAACATCCCATTTGATACAACCACTTTTTTTCTGTAAATCAGCTACTAGTCTTGGGTGGTAAATATGGTCGTTCTGCATCCAAGTAAGAGCTTGTCCACCGAGCTTTGCAAAGAGTTGACCCAAATGAAAATAAATCGTTTTGACCAACGCCGTGACTGGTAAATGACGCACCCCCTTTAAGGTTGAATTGATTGCTTCAGCCAAGTTGGTTGTCATATGACCCTAGTAATAACCCTCGTCATACGCATTTGTCCACATTTCTTTGCTGATGTCCATAATGTACTCGTAACCCTTCTTATTTTTGCCAAAAAAACTCTTATAGCATAGACTCAAACCTTTGAGGTAAGAGTTTGTAACCTAAGTCATTAGGAATATGTAATAGTTAATATGAAGTATAAATAAGTAATATGGAAATGATTGAAAAATTGGAAAAAAGTAACGTACCCATGCGCACGACTAACTGACGTTCATCGTTCTTCTTGTATTTTCCATAATAGTTTGCAGTAATATGACGGACACAATATCGATGTTGAACATGTGGAGGTTTCCACATTGGACTCAAATAGTTCATTGCTTCTTTTATCCCGGCCCCTCGGTCTGAAATAATGCATACTCGTTCCCTTGTGACAACATGTAAACATAAATTTTTAAGGAAAAAAGCCCAAGACTCAATGTCTTCTCCTTGAACGACTTCTCCTTGAACGAGGGCAAACACAACATGAAGAATATTGCGGTTACCATCTTGGACCACAACCAATAATAAAACTTGCTTGTATTTCCCATACAAGAAAGTACCATCAATTTGGACAACTGGTTTACAGTACTTCACTGCATTAATACACTGAGGGT